TTCAAGTGTTTTATTGATATGTGTGCTATTTATTTGTTCAATGCATATCTAATTTATATCTGATTATATATCAGATATAAATCAGATATATAAATATATGTGATCTTCTATATCTGATTATTTAGAGTTGCTTTTGTTGAAATGAGAGTTGAAATTTTTTGCTGATACGTGTTCCTGTTCACTGAGAGTTTGCATAATTTACTGAAACGTGTTCAAATTTGCAGATAATTTGACTGAATTTCCTGATATTTGTTCTTATTTACTGATGGTTTGACTGATTTACGGAGACGTGTTCGTGTTTACTGAGGGTTTACCTAATTTACAACGATGTTTTCAAAGTAAATTGAGACATGTTATTTACTGAGAGTTTTACTGATTTAATGGTACGTGCTTTTTTGATGAGGATTTGCCTGATTTACTGAGACGTGTTTCTATTTGTTGGAAGTTGCATAATATATTATGACATGTTATTTACTGAGACGTGTTATTTACTGAGACGTGTTATTTACTGAGACGTGTTATTTACTGAGACGTGTTATTTACTGAGACGTGTTATTTCCTGAGACGTGTTATTTACTGAGACGTGTTATTTACTGAGACGTGTTATTTACTGAGACATGTTATACTGAGACGTGTTATTTACTGAGACGTGTTATTTACTGAGACGTGTTATTTACTGAGACATATTATTTACCGAGACGTGTTATTTACTGAAAAGTGTTCTTTTGGGCGGAGGATTTAACTGATTTATTGAAACATTCACTTACTTCTAGCCGTCCAGGGGATAAGGCCTCGAGCGATCACCATTGAATTGGAAGTTTATTGCTTGAATTTCACAGCCTTTTTATTCATAAAAAATTAACAAAATTATCATCTGAATTATCGGCGGCATTTTGATGGCCGCTGGTACCACGCTCCTGAATCACCCAAGTCTGTTAATCCTTGAACTCGTCTTTTGCATAATTTTTTCTACAATAATTATTAAAATATATTTCAAAGAAATTGTCCGTTCAGCTATACTCTGATGAGTATCGATGCTTAAACAACTCATTCATATCTCTTCTTTAATCAGTTTTAGCAAATTAAATTTAAATTTGTGTAGTTCGATTTTTGTATTTGAGTTTCGAAATTTCCAATACAGTCGGTTGCGTCAGTTAAATAATTATAATTATTGCACTACTACTTTAAAAATTCTAATTATTTATGATCAGTCTACTTAAAACTTTAATCTAGACACAAATCCTATGAGCAAAGAACCCAAAGTATAGCGTCATTTAAATAATGATTGCACTACTTTAAATTTAAATCTCGACACAAATCCAATAAGCAAACAAACCAAAGAGGATAAAAAGAAACCTCAGTAATCCTTAGTAAACAAGATGGATAGAAAGACATCACGTGCTTAGTATCCTTGTTATCCTTGTTACCCTTGTTATCTCGTATATCTGAAGGAAGCTGTTCACTTATCCCGACTCGTAGCTCAGTCGCACGGTTCATGCCATAATGCTTATGCTGTCGTCCTCAGCACGAGTCGCATCTGCTCAGTCTATTTTGCAGAAACAGTTTAAATTCATTTTAATTTTCTATGCATTTATATCTGTTTCTTAGAGTAAACATTAATTTGAATCAAAATTAGTTTAAGTGTAAGAGCTTTTAAAGTTATTTTCTCCACATATATATTATTTTGCACTAATAATATAAATTCATTTTAATTTTCTATGAATTTTTCTCTGTTTCTTAGAGTGAAAATTAATTTGAATCAAAATTAGTTTAACTGCTAGAGCTTTTAAAGTTTTTTTTCTCCAAAAACAGTATATAAATATGATAATATAATATATTAGTATCTCGGATTTCAAGTTATTTGCCGTTATGAATTTGTTTGAATTAAAAAAAAAATTGGTGCATTTTTGGCGATTCCTGCATCAGAATTCAACGAAAAAATACTAGTATATTAATTGTGAACATTTTTAATTGCAAAGTAAAATAACGGCGCAAAGTAGTGGCCCTGGCAACTCAACTTGAGCTCGCTAGTTAATATACTTTCCAATAGTTTACTACGTCACCTTGATATGCTCTACTAAAAAAGTTTAATCAACAACAAAAGCTCTGCCAACTTCACTATCGGCGTCATTGTGAAATTACCCCAGAAAAATTACCCCATTATCCGATTGTTAAATTACCGTTTATTTCTCCGCCCCAAATCAAACATCAATGTTCGTGAACAATGCGAAGCCTATATTGAATAACGAATGCTTGCTGTCACTCCTATATAAGAAAAACTTTGCAGTTGCTACAATAAAAACGTACGTTAAAACGTTGAGCTAAAACCGATGTTCAACATCAATTTGGAAACGTTAGGTTATAAAACTTAAAACGTTATGTTGAAATTTTACGTTAAGAAATGACGTTACAACGCTGCGCTAGAGGCCGATGCCTGTTTTGATTCGCTTATTTAGCACGGAGCTTGTACAGTAAACAGTTCAGCTCATGCAAAGTTATGGCCACTCGCATGTCTTCTATACGCTACTCGCCCGCCATGTACGCCACTCGTCTGCTCTGTAAGTCCCACACCTGCCACTTGCTGCCACGTACGCCACACGCTAGCCACTCGCCTGCCCAGTGCGCCACTCGCCCGCCATTAGCCCGCCACTCACCTGCCATGTACGCCGCTCGCCTGCCACTCGCCCGCCACTCGCCCGCCACTCGCCTGCCCTGTGTGCCGCTCGCCTGCCTTGTACTCCACTCGCCTGCCCTGTACGCCATCGTCTACCCTGTACGCCACTCGCCTGCCACTCGCCTGCTCTCACTTCAGCCCCATCTCACTATCATGCAGGGCACACAGCAGTCTCCTGCACCAGACGAATAACAATCCAGAAACATGAGTAATGATAAGGTCGTTCAACATGAATAAGGGCAGTGAAAGCACGTATCGCTTTATGTCATGTGATCTTTCATATAACTTTGTTATACTGCGTTAAAATCAGTAATATAACTGAGCGTTACTTAACTGAGCGTTGTATAGCTGTGCGTTATATATCTATTTACCGTTTACGCTGACACTGCAGCTTGCTAGAAAACTTTAAAAATCTTCGAAATTCTAACTCTATTACTTCACAATACAACAACATATGAATCTTGTTTCTATGTATCATTTATTGAAGATAAATAGACCGCTAGAAGTCAAATAATATTTATTTCCATTAAAATAAAAGGGCTGTGAGGCTGAGGACTTGGAGGCTGAAGACTTGGAGGCTAAAGACTTGGAGGCTGAAGACTTGGAGTCTGAAGACTTGGAGACTGAAGACTTGGAGACTGAAGACTTGGAGACTGAAGACTTGGAGGCTGAAGACTTGGAGGCTGAAGACTTGAAGGCTGAAGACTTGAAGGCTGAAGACTTGGAGGCTGAAGACTTGGAGACTGAAGACTTGGAGACTGAAGACTTGGAGGCTGAAGACTTGGAGGCTGAAGACTTGAAGGCTGAAGACTTGAAGGCTGAAGACTTGGAGGCTGAAGACTTGAAGGCTGAAGACTTGAAGGTTAAAGACTCTAAGGCTGGAACTGAGAGACGGGACTGAGAGGGTAAAGACATATAGGCTGAAAATGTAAAGGCTGACGACTGTGAAGATGAGGACTGAAAGGATTTGTTCTATTTTTTGTGATTGCGTAATTACTAAACATTTCTTTATGGTGACTAATACGATTGTTTGACCAGCAAATTAAGAATGTTCTTCACGTTTTGATCCACTATACGGTAATTTTCGACGGCTTTCAACATATCTGGGGCCGTAACATCAAAATTTTTCTTAAGTACACGTATCGGTCTGAGTACACATAGCGGCTAAAGTTTACGTAGCGGTCTAAGTACACGCAACGGCTTAAGTACATGTAGCGGCCTAAGTACACGTAGATTCGTAATGTACGTCGAGAGTATCCCTGAGGATTCGGTAGGGTCGAGGTTGCCGAATAAGGATTCGGCGAGGGATTTACGAGGGATTCGTCGTAAAAATGTGATAATAAATTGAATTTTTTTTTTAGTAGGCGAGTGTAGGCCTAGGACGAATTAAGACTGGTCACATGTGAGCAACATGGTGGCTATGCCTCTCCCGAATGCTGAACCAACTTGGGATATTTTAGTAAATGTATCGAGGTTAATTAAATATTGTAATATCGAATAATTAAAATACTTCTTCGTTAACAAACTTAATCTTGAGCTGTAGATTGCAATATCTCTCTCAGGAATGCTCTATCGATGCAGAAAAATAAAGATCGTGATCGGGAGATTTTCAAAAGCTTCAAAAACAAAAATAATATTGGAATAAATTATTCTATGCCCACGCAAATTCAAAATACTTATTTAACATGCGACATCACAACTTTATATAACATATAATAACTGCCGTGTTGCCAATGTTATGAGATGTTTGTCTTCGTATCCGTAAACCAAATAATATCCGCCATGTTGCTCCTGTGGTATTTTCCGTATAACGTGTGAAATCGGGCCTCCCTAGTTAAAATCTGAAGCAGGGTTTGAGCCGAGCCGATGCCGAGCAGGGCAGTCTAGGAGCAGTAAGAGAGCAGGAAAGTTGCAATCATGTCTCGTTTTAGAGTCCCATGAATGTTACGAATTAAATTCCTGCAGTAAATCGGCCGCTGTGGCCGTTGACGTATTAAATCCAGCTTTAAACCCACAGATTTGAGGCAATCTGGCCCAATCCTGCTCTGAAACTGCTCCAAACCTGCGCCGTTGCGTCAATCGACGCTGATCCCTGCTCCAAATTCTATCTGGGATAATATTTGCCGTATAACGTATGAGGTCGGGTCTAATGTTTCCCGTGTAACGTGCGAGAGCGGCCTAATTTTGCCAATGTAACGTGTGAAGACAGGTCTACTATTGACCGTTTAATGGGTGTAGACGGTTCTTATAAACTCAAGATTCGTAAAATGCGTAAAAGTGCAAAAGAAGCACCGCCCAGTGACGGATGTTTGTCCCCCTCCCCTAGAGCAAAAGGCGCTCTTAGAACCAAGATCATGCGTGGACCAGCAGGTGCTGCAGCTCTAGCCCATCGTCCTCTCGCCACAGCGCCCTACAGGCAAGAACCTACTACCATCTCAACTATCTCTATTTAATATCTCCAGTATCCTCCCAATATTCCTATTTAATATCTCCGTCTCCTCCCAATATTCCTATTTAATATCTCCGTCTCCTCCCAATATTCCTATTTAATATCTCCGTCTCCTCCCAATATTCCTATTTAATATCTACAGTATCCTCCGTCTCCTCCCAATAATCCTATCCGTCTTCTCCATGTCATTTTTCGTTAGTTTCTATCACCTCTTCAATCCATGCAGTCTCTTCCGCTCTGCCTCCAAACCACGTGGTCTCTTCATCTCTTCTCCTCATTATAAATATTATTTCTTTCATGTCTCCGACTCAATTCTACAACCATTCACAAAACTTGATTCCCTTTACACATGACAAAAAATAACACTTAGACATCCCTCACAAATAACGCTTAGTGTCTGATTAACTCATTAATCCTTCCGTGGTTCTAACACCGACAACTATTTCGGTTTTTTATACACTTACATTGCTCCTGGATTCTTACACTTACATTGCCCCTGGATTCAAAGACCTACGTCGTTCTTGGGTTTTCACACACCAACATTACTCTTGGTACTTAAACACCTACATTACTGTCGACCAGTCCCTCGCCTGACAGTCTAACAGAGAATGTCTGCTCTGTCGTCCCTCGCCTGACAGTCGAACAGAGCATGTCTGCTCTGTCGTCCCTCGCCTGACAGTCTAACAGAGCATGTCTGCTCTGTCGTCCCTCGCCTGACAGTCGAACAGAGCATGTCTGCTCTGTCGTCCCTCGCCTGACAGTCACCACAACATGAACAAGAAACAACATCTCGCCTCAACATGAACAAGAAACAACATCTCGCCACAACATGAACAAGAAACAACAACTCCCTACAACATGAACAAGAAACAACATCTCGCAACAACCAATAGTAGGATTTTCTGCAGCAAATATACATTTTCACCGTTTCACTTTTGGCTACTTGCATAAACTCGTTACATGGCGAAGTTATGAACTACTCATCACCAATCTCTCTACTTTCCTTAAGTACAAGCTTCAGTATGGCGACTATGTCTCTACTTTCAGAAGATTGAACGTAACTATAAGACCAAGAACTGAGCCTATACTTTCAATAAAAGTTAAGAGATCGTAAGTTCATCAGCCAATCATTGACGGCCTTTCAAGCCAAATCCACCAATCATGGACAAGAAAATAGAACGCAAGGACTTACATTCACTTAGCGAGTTTTGAAAGTATGGCCCCTGGTATCCAACTCTAACTCAACCCCAAAAACCTCAACGACACATCGTGCTCTACAAGCACGGCTCCCTAAGGAGCTTTGCCAGGTTGTAACTTCGGTTGTAAACTCGAGCCCTCAGCGCCGTATTGTTCAGTGCGCTCCCTCAGTAGCGATAATTAGCCGCTCTTAAAGCCGTCAACATTATATTGCTTTAAACTTAACACTTCAGATCCGAAAAAGAATGTTTCGTTATTTTAAAAAAATGATTCACAGATAAAATATTTATTTGTGATTTTACTCAAATCTAAGACATTGTACTGTCATTAGAAAGGAGGTTTCATTTACATTATAATTCATGATAGAGCTTACGCTTTCTAGTAAAAATCTCATTTCACTAGGAAGTTTTTGCCTAAAACCTCAGATTGATTTTAAGAGTGACATGCCTTCGTATCGAGAGGTAGATTTAATTTAAAAAATCTAGTCCGTTGACTTTCAAATGAAGTAATGGAGTAGGAAAATTTAATTATTTTTCCCTTCGTAAAGGAAGACGAGCAATTTTTTCCCAATTCCCCTCCCCAAGACAACAGCAGACTGCTTGACACTACACGTTCTCCACCGCTAATTTCCAGTTATTTGGAACACCGGCGAACTTAACAACTTTTTCTACACCATTTGATCTGCTTACCCCCAACTATTCCTTCTCTATCTTATCTTTTTATCTCGATGATATCCAAATCATTTGTTCCCTCCATCCATCAATAGACTCCTAACACTCCTTGTTTAGCGCCATGCATCCACATTTATTAATGTTCAAGTTTCTTCTCAGCCTCGACCATCTCAGTTTCTGTTACCATCCTCGATCTGCTGTTACGTGAACTGACGTGTGTCATAGATCTACGAAATTTAAATAATTTGTCTAATAAAATTAAAAATTTGAATTCTAATTGCTGGAATCAATTAAGCTTCAAAATTACATTCCAATGCCAATGAAAAAATTAAAGATTCTTCGTTAAATGTAACTATGTGGTTCAGTTCACGTACAGTGAGCACGTCTCACCTTCTCCTTCGTTCATTCCCGAAACTATTTTCCATTATCCTTAAAAATTTATCCTGAAGGAACCCATCCTGAGGACGGCCACGGTTCCCAACACATGTTTGTATCCTGTGATGTTGCTCATGATGTGGTGCAGCAACATTATGAGTGTGTTGGTGTTACACCCATGTTGCGACACCAACATGATCTATGTTGGTATACGTACTTCAGCGCAACATTTGCTCGTAACACCAACACGTTTATCCTACATTATTATATTGGTGTTACCATTGAGGTATCAGGTCTTTTTTGGTGCAACTGTCTTATATGTACTGGTCTTATATGTGGTCTTTATGCGTTGGTGCAACTGTTTTATGTGTACTGGCATTATATGTGGTCTTTAAGCGTGGTAGTATTTCGTGTTGTCTTCACGTGTGCATATTATTTCGCGTGGTCTTTACGTGTGGTAGTTTTTCGTGTGGCCTTCACGTGTGGTAGTTTTTCGTGTGGTCTTCACGTGTGGTAGTATTTCGTGTGGTTTTCACGTGTGGGTGGTATATTGTGTGTTTTGTGTATTTCGGAGGGTGGTGTTTTGTGTGTCTTTCACGTGTGGTATAATTTTGTGTGATATTCACGTATGGTTGGTGGCAGTGAGCTGGCTTCTCGTACTCAGCGTTAGTAATATACAGGGTTGTGTGAATGGCTTTCGGGTTAAAATAGTTTGAGTGTTCTTTTATTTGTTTTTTATTGCGTTGAAAAGTAGTATAGTTGTTGTGTTGCTGTAGTGGTGGAACACGTAGCGTTTGTTTTCTTCCGTGACTTTTTTCATTCTCTTGAAACGTTTGGACACTTTTCCGGATTCGACAAATTATCTCATAAACTCGAACTCTGTTCATTATCTTTCAATGTTTAATTAATATTTCGCGAGCATCAAGTTACCGTATTTATGGCACAATAAAGCTTTCGAATCCGGTAAAGACTTCTGAATGTTTCATTAATTATCTATTGCATTGGCATTAATTGGTTATTGGATGATAATATTGGTGCTGTGTTCTTTTTCTTTTGTAGCGTATAATAATTGCGGTACGATTGATATTTTGTTAAAATGATTTGATTTATCACGGGACTATATTTGCACAATTCTCTCAGTTTTTTATATTATAAATCTTCTTCATCCCATGACTTTATTATTTCGGTCAAGTTCGCAGGCTGGACCAAGATTTAACTATTGCAGTTATTATAATTAAACTTCTCGATCAAATATGCAGGTTTATTTGCTGCAGGTAAGTGATGAAAAAACCTTCAAGACTTTACACGATCGTAAATTTTATGAATATTAACGAAAATTATTGTAGGTTGGTTGCTGTAAATCATCCACATGACACATTAGTTTACTTATATTCCACACAGCAAACACACATCACTGTATTGTCTGCCACGACAACACGTCGATATCACGATATCGCAACAAAACGTCAGTATTGCGACTACACGCCAATATCACGACTCGACGACAGTATTACGACTACACGTCAGTATCACGACAACACGTCAGTATCACGACAACACGTCAGTATCACGACAACACGTCAGTATCACGACAACACGTCAGTATCACGACTACGCGTCAGTATCACGACAACACGTCAGTATCACGACAACACGTCAGTATCACGACAACACGTCGGTTTCACGACTACACGTCAGTATCACGACTACACGTCAGTATCACGACAACACGTCGCGGTAATGTGAGACGCGCAGTGAGGCGCTCCAGCAGACGCACGTGACGCGCCGTTTTGCAGCGCGCGGGGCGCGTGCCGCCCCAGAGGTTGGGCGCGTGCCGCCCTAGAGTTTGGGCGCGTGCCGCCCTAGAGTTAATACGGCGCGCAGGCCAGCTCTGTGTTTGCCAGATCGAAGTAACGTTTCAAACATGGCTGTTTGACGAGTGTACTTGTTTGTCGCTGCAATAACGCAGCTTATTTAATGTACTCTCGATGTGCTTACGCCTGCCGGTCATTTGCGATAATTTACGATCATTACCGAGGCCGCTGAAGCCATTAATATAAGGGGATGGATTATCGTCGGAAGAAAGATGGCCATCGATGTAGCGCTTTTGATTTCACATGTTGTGACTGAGGCAATTTCTTGCCTTGCACAGGGTAATCAAATCTTCGATATTTTACTTGAGTGCGAGTAATTAATTTCTTGTTCTACATAAACAATATGCGAATGTATAATTTAAAATCTTTCTCGACTCATGTTGAAGTTTACAAAGGGAAATTATAAAGACTCTAAGACGAATTTCGAACATTACTCGTACAATAAAAAATTATTTAGAACCCGGCCTTAATACGAGTATTTTCTAGATGATGACGTCACTCATAACCTAATTAGAACGTCTACACGTTTACGCAGCCCAAAGACTGACGTACACTCATGCCGTCTGTAACATGTAACATTTATTTACAAATATCGTCTTCAAACGTTGTTATCTTGCAGCGTAATCATGTCGTCCGGTGCGGGTTCGCGGTATACATGTTGCTCCTGAACGCTATGATTTCTTCATGTCTCGCAGTTATGTTCATTACTTAATGTGTTTAGACGTTTACATTTAAATCATACATATAGGATTATTTTCAAATATATTCTACTGAAGTTTATGAGATGGAAGTCTACACAAGTCTCGTGATTATGATATTTCTTGGTTTTATTCGAGACTAACTGTAATGA